AAAAAAAAAAAAAAAGAGAACCTTGCACAAACCAAAAGTCATAAAGAAAGATGATAGGTTCCAATGGTCTACTCTACAAAAAAATCACTAAGAAAATGAAAAAAGTGAGCCAAAGCCTGGAAAAAGTTATATGCCTGGTAAGGAACTTGAATTCAGAATATATAAATAACTCTCTGAAATGAATAATTAAAAAGAACAACCCAGTTTTTTAAAATGGGTAAAAATATGGATGGAGTATTTCCCAAAAGAGGATATACAAAAGGCCAATAATTACATTAAAAAGATGTTCAGCATCATTAGTTGGAAAGAAAGTGAAACTTAAAGAACCATAAGGAAACACCACTTAACATGCTCTAGAGTAATTCAAAAAATACCAACAGTACTAAATGTTGCTGAGTGTGTGGACATGTGGTTGGAGAAACAATAGGCAGTCTTAAATCAACCATACTAATCCCCCTTCTGGATATTTATGAAACACACACACAAAACCTATGTCCACAAAAAAAGATTGTATAAGAACGTTCATTTCAGTTTTATTCATAAAAACCCTAAACTAGGAGCAACTCAACTGTTCACCGATGCATAAATAAATTGTAAGATATTTAAACAATGGATACTGCTCAGCAATAAAAAGGAATGAACGTCTGGCATACAGAACAACCTGGGTGAATCTGGTAGACATAATGCCAAGCAAAAGAATCTAGACACACGGAAAAGCTAATGCATGGTGATGGAAACTAGAATTGTTACCATCTTACGAGGGTGGGAGGATTGACTGGCGAGGAAACAAGGGAACTTCCTGAGATGATGGAATTGTTCCACATATCGGTTGGGGTGGTGCCCACATGGCTGTATGCACTTGCCAAGTCCATCTATATGTGCACTTAAAGATGGTACTTTATTGGATGTTAATTGGACCAGAGGAATAGAGAGGGACAAGAGGGCCCTGAAGGTTAACGGACCTGTGAGTTGTCTCACATGGAGCAGTAGAGGTGCATTTCCAGTGGGTGGGAGATGCTTGGAGATGGGCACAGTGCTTTGTGCGTCCTGCTAGAAGGACTCACATTTAGGTTGAGTCAGGAGACGGGGAGTGACCTGTAGGGAAAGTCAGGGGAAACGTGGCATGTACAGCCTATGACTTTTAGGATGATCCCTGGAGTGAGTACAGGTAGCAGAAATGGGAGAGAAATTGTTACCATGTAATCACTCTGCATCTGCCGGGCCCAAGTGGTTGAGAAAAGAAGGCGAACAAATAGGGGTGTCATTCAGGTGTGAAGTGACAGGGCCAAACTGGGCAAAGTTAGCTGAGGT